ATTAAATTTGTATAATCGCTCGATAAAACACGGACGCACTCGAAAAAGCCCGGACTGCTCTCGAAAAATCCCGAACACATAGAAATGAATTTAGTCTGAAAATATCGTTTTTCAATGCAACAACAAGAAATTTTGTAAAGTGTCTGTATATCTAAGGATATATGGATTCCATGTATGCATTTTCATCGACGTTTGCATTGGTATGTGTATAAAAATGGCTTTATTCTGTTTATTGGAATAAAAGCATTGTAAGGCTAAATTCAACTTTTTGAACGAAAAATAATGTCGGATTGATATCTTTTTATCTCAAATACTAACACACCTTGTTTATCCTTGTATATTAAACTCAAGCTTCTATATCACGTCTTTTCAGAAAGTAATTCTGTTTGTTTACATTTTTGATCATATTCACTCGAAAAAAAGTGGTCACACTCGAAAAAACCCGACCAAATCACTCAAAAAACCACGATCCTAGCCGGACACTATACCTACTGTGAATTAGATGGCGTCTAGACTAAAACAAACACGGAATGCTGATACATATTATCGAGCCCATCCATTATAAATAGTTTATTTTAGACTTTTTATAGCTTGGACCTTCCAACATTGTCGACTGAAGATAATTTATGACTGTGTTTTGTTGATCTTGCATTGCTGGTATTATTTTTTTTCTGTTTATTTTCTCTCTTTCTTCTATAGTTTCTGTCCAAAACACAAACAAAGAGTAAAAGTAGTAAGATTCGTAAGGGTTTCCGCGGAACCCTGTCTCTCACCTACGATTGCTAATGTCAGAGTAAACGTGTAATGTTGTTTTGATTTAAAAAGTGAGTCCATTTATCAGTATAATACAGAATTTAAATTAATCGAACTTTTTCTTTACATGCTATTTCTTGAATTTGAAGATACGCATCTGTCCAAGTTTCATAACAATCCATGAAGGTTTACAAATTTAACTTGTAAAATACACATTAATCCCAGACTGTCTGTAAATGTTAACTGTAAAAAACTAATTAGTCCATCTATCAGAAAAATACTGAAAATGAAAATATTGAAAAAACGAAGTCCATTTATCAGTAAAAGACGTAAAAATTAAAATAAATAGTTTTAAAAATTTTGTTGTGGGTACACGGTATTTTTGTCATTAACAAGCTTCTGTCCAAATTTCATAAAATTCCATAAAGGTTTGAAATAGTTACCTAAATGACGACGACGGAATCTAGGATCACTATAACTCGCTGTCGGAGGTTCGACAAAAAGGCAATAACACGAAATATTGGAAAACAAAGTAATCCTCTAAAGGCAAGAACTATATAAGGAGTCGACTGACGATTTCGTTAATTTGATTAATTATAGATTTGTCTTGACTATCAACTTTTTTTCTATTTATCTATTGTAGGTTTCAAGGTAATAGACAAAAAGAAAAATAGTAGTAAAATCGTCATTGAAGAGCTTTAACCCGAATTGATGATTTCGGCTATTTGATGTATTATTGGATCTTGTCTTGCTGATCATTTTGGCTATAAAAGTGTCAACCTATATATTGTACTTTTCAAGATAATAAACAGAAAAGCAATGGTACTAGTAAAGATCGTCATTGAAGGGCTTTAACTTGAACAAGGAGTTGACTGATGATTTCGGCTTTTTGATTTATTTGTGGATCTTGTCTTGCTGATCATTTTGGCTATTAAAGTGTTAACTTATATATTATAGTTTTCAAGATAATAGTCAAAAATGCAAAAAAATAATGGTTAACATCGCCAATAAAAGAAATAATTCTGACATGAAGTCCTGGATTTATTACTTTTTTTGTAGATCTGCTCTTGCTGATAATTTTTCTTCTTAAAGTTTCTATCTATCTAACAAAGCATTCAAGCAAAACCGCAACTAATGGTAATAATAATTATGAAAGGGCAAACAGTCCGATTTCGGCTAAGGTGTCTAATTTGTAAATATAAAAAGAAGATGTGGTATGGTTGCCAATGAGAACACTCCCCAAGACACCAAATGACACAGAAATAAAAAAAAAAACTATAGGTCAGTCACCGTACAGCCTTCAACAATGAGAAAAGCCCTAACCGCATAGTCAGCTATAAAAGGCCCTGAAATGACAAATGTAAAACAATTCAAAGGAGAAAACTAACGGCCTAATTTATGTACAAAATAATGAACAAAAACAAATATATTACACAACAATAAACGACTACCACTGAATTACTGGTTTCTGACTTGGGACATGCACGTACAGGATGTGAGGGGAATAAACTAGTTTGAAGGCGCCAAGCCTCTATCTATGTAGTCTAGATTTTGTCCTGCTGCTCATTTCATGTATCAAAGTTTCTCACTATCTATTCTAGTATTCAAGATATTAGGCCAACAATAGACAAAAAAAAAATGTTCATTTAAGGGCAATAACTCCCACAGAAATCGTCTGACAATTTAAATGTAAATGAATTGTCAGTCGATCTCAACATTCTGAACAATCCTGCCAAGTCAGATTATATATAATATAGTTTTTCTTCTAGATAATAGTAAAGGTTGAACTTTACCCTAATATTCTATTTTTAGCCATGTCAGCCATGATGGTTGGCAAGTGAGGTTATGGGACGAAGTTTGTCAACTACATACTCGAATGGTCATTGTTGTCAACTTTTGTTTAATTTGGCTAAGTATTTTCAGAGGAGAGGAATTTTGTAAAAGTTAATGAATGACAAAAACACGAACGCCAAATGATGATCATAGCTGAACTGCGGTGCCATATAAAGACGAGGAACTACTGCTCCACCAGTGGTACTAGCTCATGTAAAATAAGTAAAATGTTAATAGACGATGGCACAACGACGCCAAGTGGTGAGATTAGCTGAACTGAGGTACCCTGGAAGGACGAGCAGCTCCTGCTCCACAAGAGGTACTATTCTATGTAAAATAAGTAAAATTGTTAACAGACGACGACACCACGGACGCCAAGTGATGATCATAGCTGAACTGAGGTGCCCTGGAAGGACATGCAGGTCCTGCTCCACAAGTGGCTCGTGTAAAATAAGTAAATTGTTAACAGACGACGACACAACGGACGCCAAGTGATGAGAGTAGCTGAATTGAGATGCTCTGGAAGGACGAGCAGGTCTTGCTCCACATGTGGCACTATCTTATGTAAAATAATTAAATGTACGTTAACAGACGACGACACAACTGACGCCAAGTGATGATCATAGCTGAACTGAGGTGTTCCTGCTCCACTAGTGGCACAATATAATGTAAAATAAGTAAAATGTTAACAGACGACGCGACAACGGACGCCAAGTGATGAGAATAGCTGAACTGAGATGCCCTGGAAGGACATGCAGGTCCTGTTTCACTAAGGGAATTATCTTATGTAAAATAAGTAAATTGTTAACAGATGACGACACAACGGACGCCAAGTGATCGTCATAGCTGAACGAAGTTGCCCTGGAAGGACATGCATCTCCTGCTCCACTAGTGGCTCATTTAAAATAAATAAATTGTTAACAGACGACGACACAACGGACGTCAAGTGATGATCATAGCTGAATTGAGGTGCCCTAGAATTAAGGACGAGCAGGTCCTGCTTCACTAGTGGCACTATCTCAGGTAAAATAAGTAAATTGTTAACAGACGACTCAACTGACGTCAAGTGATCGTCATAGCTGACCTGGGATGCCCTGGAAGGACGAGTAGCTCCTGCTCCACTAGTGGTACTTTATAATGTAAAAATAAGTAAATTGTTAAAAGACGACTCAACGGACGTCAAGTGATCGTCATAGCTGACATGGGTGCCCTGGAACACAGGCGCTTTGGTATATGATACAGAAATGTTTTTTTAATTTTTTTTTTTGTTGATTAAAATATTCAATTTTCTATATTTATACTACATATCTATCACTACTGCGCATGTCTCGCCTAGTTTCGAGTGATTTTACCAACTTTGAGACAAAGCCCCATTTTACTATCCACACTTTGTTTCTTAGTGTGGATAGATCCGATGCCATTTTATTATAGATGCGGGTACGCGTAGCCTATGAACGGCAATTTGGTTATTCGTACCCACATGCGGGTACGCGCAGACACTGCCTTACTAATTATGTAAGCTGACAATAATCTAATCAAGTAATTAATTGATATCTATAGAAAAATGATTACTCAAACAACAGTATTTGCGAACCGTAAAAAAACACATTTAATCGTACCTGGGACTATTATACTAACTATACTTAGTATAATAGTCCCAGTTGTTACAAAAAAGAGGTGATGATTAGAACTTACTGATGCCTTCAATCATTTTTCTGAGGGCCGACACAGGGTCAACGAATTTTTTCTTATTGAAAAATATTATCTTGTCAACTTTGTCTGGGACTAGGCGATTTCTCAACTTTGTTAGGTATCTAACAGTCCTGCTGATGAAAATATATGCTCTGACGGTACAGAGGTGGGGGAATGACTCAGATTAGCTAAAAGTGTCAGCCTTGGAAAAGTGCTCTTGTTCATATATCCTTTCTCTGTTTGGAGGAATTTTGAATGACAGCTAAATGTAAACATTCCAATCGTATTTTAATTTTTTATTATATTTGATTAATATTTAATTTCCTGGGAGGCACTCTCAATAAAAATAGTTTTTGATTAAGCTTAAGAAAGCAACAACATTCTAACAGGAAATCGATTAGTCGAGTATCATTTTGGTAATCGATACTAGGTATTACCGAGCGATAATCCAGTACTTGTTGACACCCCTAAAAATAAGTAAAATCTTAACAGACAACGACACAACGGACGCCAAGTGATGAGAATAGCTGAACTGAGGTGCCCTGGAAAGACATACAGGTCCTGCTCCACAAGTGGCTCAAGTAAAATAAGTAAATTGTTAACAGACGACGACACAACGGACGCCAAGTGATGAGAATAGCTGAACTGAGGTGCCCTGGAAGGACGAGCATCTCATGCTCCACTGTGGTACTATTCTATGTAAAATAAGTAAAATTGTTAACTGATTTTTTTTACTATACTGTTTATTACGTGTGTTGATAACCAACATAAATTAGATATCAGGAATCATAATATGTACATAGTATGGCGAAAATCGTACATAAACATAATCATATGGTAAAAAACATATTTAAACATAATCATATGGTAAAAATCATATATAAAAATAATTATATGGAAACAATCATATATAAACATAATTATAAGGTAATATTAACATTATCGATATAATAATATGTACATTTTTATATGTACTTTTACAAATTGTGACTTGGATGTAGAGTTGTCTCATTGGCACTCATACCACATCTTCTTATATCTATATAGTATGCTAGCTGGCTAAGCTAAACAGTTATGAAATAGATGGAAATCTCCATACATTCCTGTGAAAACGATCAATGCAGGTTGTTGTTGAAGGTGAGCACTCAAGATATGCCCACGTAGACTCTGGCGTACCACAAGTCACAGTGCTAGGACTGCTGCTTATCCCAAGCCACATCAATAACCTCCCGGAAGGTGTAAAATCCCAAATTCGATTATTTGCAGACGACTGCCTACTCTATCGAGAAATTAACAACACGGAAGACCATCAAATTCTCCAAGTAGATCTGAAGGCTTTGGAAGTATGTACACTAAATTGGGGAATGAAATTTAATACCAAAACAATGCTATATAATGAGCTTAAAAAAAAAATGAACACACTTCTACCAACTAGACAACCAACTATTAGAGTATGTCCAAACAAATCCGTACCTAGGCCTTAATATATCTGATGACCTAATGTGGACCAGCCACATAGGAAAAATTACAAGCAAGGCAAGCTGTTCACTAGGTTTCCTGAGAAGAAACTTACGCCAGTGCCCCCAAGAGTGCAACAAACTAGCCTACTTAGCCATGGTTATATCGGTACTAGAATACGGTGCTGTCATTTGGAACCCATTCAGCACCAGGGAAATAGAAATGATAGAAAGCATACAGAAAAGAGGCGCACGTTTCATCCTGCACGACTACAAATCCAGAGAAACAGGATGCGTTACAAATATGCTTTCAAAGCTGGAACTACCACCTCTCCAAGAACTGAGGAAACATCACAGGCTGACTATGTAGTTAGGGTTGCTATCCCGTGGAATTATAACCTGCATGCCCCTTTTGGTCAGAAAACATTTTAATATAAAACTTCTCTTTTCTCATCAGTGCAAGGGAAAAAAAAGCTTTTTGAACCCATTTTTCGTACAGAGTTAACTACCCAAGTGAATATATAGATTGACAAAATCTCTAGATTCATTTTTGTAATGTTCAAAACTTAAAAAATATATCTAGACATTTGGGAGGACATAGCGGCAAAGTTCTTTAATTGTATGTTAATAACCAGATAACAGCTTTTTAACACTTAAACTGTAAACATGCTCTTTCGTTCTTTCAAACAGCACTCGAATCGTGTCTTTAATTGTTATTAGAATGTTGGAAAAAAGTCATAAAAAGTCACCTGAAATAAGTCACAATAAAGATTAAAATTTTTTTTTTTTTTAATGCATTGAATTTCATGTCTGATCTTATATTAAACTTGTGAATAAATGACAACATTGTTAAAAACATAATATTTCGTCTTTTCCAATGTTGTGCTATTAATATTCTGTTTTAAACATGAAAAGCTAAAAAATCAAATGAAGCTAGTCAATTAGTCTAATAAATGATGTCTTGATTTGATATGATTCATTAAACTCTTTGTAATTGTCCCCTGCTCGATGCATTGTGGGGTACATGGAAATACAGTGCGTCAGTCCGGTCTTCTTATTCCTTGTGAATATTTATTATACGGAAAATTACATTGTAAACAATCTCATATATACAATTCTTGCCTGATTTTTATGAAATTGATATCAAATGTTAATACAAGTAACCTCTTGGACAAGCTTGAAAATCAGTGCCAATCAACTATTCCTAAAAAATCAGCTATAACCCTTTGAAATGTGAATTATGTACAAAATTACATTGTGAGCACTCTCAAGTGTACAATTCCTCTTAAATTCTTGTGAAATTGATATCAAAGGATTATTTCAGCAATGTCTCGGACAAGTTCATAATTCAGTGCCGACCATCTTATTTTATAACAGTCGCACCTCACAGAAACATCAACAATATCAAAAATTACATTGTAAGAGCTCTCAAGTATACAAGTATTGCCACATTTTAATGAAATCGATATCAAAGGCTATGACAGCAATGTCTCAGATAAGTTTGAAAATCAGTGCCAAAGAACTTTTTCAAGAGGTATGACCCTTGGCCATATTAATCATATGAAAAATTGCAATGTAAGCCTACGTTTCTCTAAGATATCTATAAAAAGTTTGAAAGAACATATATATTGTGTGAATAAGTGACATCTTCATGTAATAAATAATGTTTGTATAACGATAATCAGGGACAATTTATGCATTAGAAATAAACAAAATCTTTAAATAAAACAAACAAAAATACCATATAGTCAAACCATATTCTTTGAAAATGAATGGTCACCTTTACTATTCAATATATTTTTTTTCTTTATTTCTCATTGAGCGCTTTCCTAAAAAATAAAGAAAAAAAATATATTGTTTTCGGTTTGGTATTAAATTAATAATAAAGATCCATTTTGTTACATCTTGTGATCCGTTTATTTGAGAATCGCCAATGGTAGTCAACAGGGTTTAAGAACATCCGCTGTTCAACCTGTTAGTCAAATGCGTTTTGTTTAAAAATAACCTTTTTCACTTTTTTGGTCTTTTGGAAAATGTTGTTCGTGCTGTATTTAGACCCCTCTACCAAGAAGTTTGTTTTGCATGCACACGTATAAAAATTGCGGTTTTTATCCAACGCAATCATAGGTTTGAACGTTGTTTTCAATTTAGACTTATATTTGTTTCGCACTTAATATACAAGTCTTGGTATCTTCTATAGTACATTGGGCTCCTTGATTATGCAGAAAGGGGGTGGTTTGCGGTGGGATGTTGAATTCATAACTTTAAACTATCAAATTATTTTCACTCTTATGTTTACAGTTCAGAAAGAATTATTTTTTATAACAGCATAGCTGATTGTACATTGGATGGTTTTAGGGTTGGCTGGTGTCAAATTCGATTGGAGGCCCCAGGATACTTACATCTGTAGCTGATTGTACATTGAATGGTTTGAGGCTTTACTGGTATCAAATTTGATCGGAGGCCCCAGGATACTTACATGTGTAGCTGATTGTACATTGAATGGTTTGAGGCTCGACTGGTATCAAATTTGATCGGAGGCCCCAGGATACTTACATGTGTAGCTGATTGTACATTGAATAGTTTGAGGCTTTACTGGTATCAAATTTGATTAGCGGCCCTAGGATACTTACATGTGTAGCTGATTGTACATTGGATGGTTTAAGGCTCGACTGGTATCAAATTTGATTGGAGACCCCAGGATACTTACATGTGTAGCTGTTTGTACATTGAATGGTTTGAGGCTTTACTGGTATCAAATTTGAATGGCAGCCCCAGGATACTTACATGTGTAGCTGTTTGTACATTGAATGGTTTGAGGCTCGACTGGTATCAAATTTGATTGGAGGCCCAAGGGTACTTACATGTGTAGCTGATTGTACATTGAATGGTTTGAGGCTTTACTGGTATCAAATTTGATCGGAGGATACTTACATGTGTAGCTGTTTGAAGTCACATAAGTGTTTTTAAAAAGATTTTTGATAGATTTTAAAATAGATTTTTTCACAAAATGCATAAATCTTAAATGAGTCAAACCTTTAATTTATACAAATGTGTTATTGAAATCAACCCATATAGATTGCATTTATGTGAATAAAGACAATGCAATTTCCAATACGAACTCCCTTTGTGGCTTAAACTGTGCCACTTTTACAAGAAGTTTCGTAAAAAGTTATATCCTAGATTGGAAAGTTTATATGCACTACTATTTTATTCAAAGGTCAAAACACAGGGCTATGAGATGAAACAAGGAGATCATATCTTGGAACCAGTACGTAAACAAATCAAATTATCTATAAATATTATATATCTCCCAAAAAGAGGCGTGGTTTGAGAAACAGCTTCAGTGTTTCGCACTTAATATACAAGTTTTGGTATCTTCTATAGTACATTGGGCTCCTTTATTATGCAGAAAAGGGGGGTGGTTTGCGGTGGGATGTTGAATTCATAACTTTAAACTATCAAATCATTTTCACTCTTATGTTTACAGTTCAGAAAGAATTATTTTTTATAACAGCATAGCTGATTGTACATTGGATGGTTTTAGGGTTGGCTGGTATCAAATTTGATTGGAGGCCCCAGGGTACTTACATCTGTAGCTGATTGTACATTGAATGGTTTGAGGCTTTACTGGTATCAAATTTGATCGGAGGCCCCAGGATACTTACATGTGTAGCTGATTGTACATTGAATGGTTTGAGGCTCGACTGGTATCAAATTTGATTAGAGGCCCCAGGATACTTACATGTGTAGCTATTTGTACATTGAATGGTTTGAGGCTTTACTGGTATCAAATTTGATCGGAGGCCCCAGGATACTTACATGTGTAGCTGTTGTACATTGGATGGTTTAAGGCTAGACTGGTATCAAATTTGATCGGAGGCCCCAGGGTACTTACATGTGTAGCTGTTTGTACATTGAATGGTTTGAGGCTTTACTGGTATCAAATTTGAATGGCGGCCCTAGGATACTTACATGTGTAGCTGTTTGAAGTTGCATAAGTGTTTTTAAAAAGATTTTTGATAGATTTTAAAATAGATTTTTCACAAAATGCATAAATCTTAAATGAGTCAAACCTTTAATTTATACAAATGTGTTATTGAAATCAACCCATATAGATTGCATTTATGTAAATAAAGACAATGCAATTTCCAATACGAACTCCCTTTGTGGCTTAAACTGTGCCACTTTTACTATGAAGTTTCGTAAAAAGTTATATCCTAGATTGGAAAGTTTATATGCACTACTATTTTATTCAAAGGTCAAAACATAGGGCTATGAGATGAAACAAGGAGATCATATCTTGGAACCAGTACGTAAACAAATCAAATTATCTATGAATATTATATATCTTCCCAAAAGAGGCGTGGTTTGAGAAACAGCTGTATTTACAAAGTGCAACCTATTATCAGCTATAAAAGGCCACGACATGATAATATGAAACAATTCATTTGAGAAAATTAACAGCCTCATTTTAACAAAACAATTTACCCCCCAAAAAATGTATTCAGGTACTTGTATTACAATAATCTTGCTGTCTGGCTTGAATTGTCATCTGATATAAATTCAAAAAAAGATATTATCAGAAAGATAATTCAAAATTGCTTACAGAGAAGAATATCTGTAAAGGTTATAAAAAAACAAATAAAATAACATATGATGAATCTGTTGAACGTCCATGAAGTAAATAATATGAAAGAGGCGAAAGATATCAAAGGGAAATTGGGACTGTTTTGCTTACAGACCTTCTTAATACCTAAAAATAAAAAATATGGAACAAATGAAATACAAAAGTTACAACTAAATGCATAACTTATCTTTCAAACAATGAGGCTAATTTACGCACATTATTTCCCTGACTCTGTGATTCCTGTCCTGATTTTATTTTTAGTTTCTTTGGAATTGCACCTTTACCTCTCGATTGTTGTGAAACTACATGTTTAAGGGTGTTCAGATCAACATTGTTTAAAACTTCTTCTAAACAACGTGCACCTCTCCCAATATTAAATAAAGCCTGAATAAGGACCCGTATTGTAGGTTTGACTAGTTGGTCTTCTCTCCACTTAAATAATACGACCCTATTCTGTTCTGCTAAGTCAGAAGGATTGTTGCTCTGTATATTTTCCAGGGTAGGAATTGATAGCCCAATTTCGGTGCCAAGTTGGAAAAAAACTTGACCAATTTGTGGAGCTAATGCATCTAGAATCTCATCTGTTGGAATACAATCCAAGTAATTGGCTTGAATATCTGAAACATTAACTCATTTTATAAAAAAAAATAAATAACTTTAAAATACTGTCAAGTTCATTGATCTGTGAAAATTTGAATGATATGAGATAAGCAGTACCTTGCTCTTAATGCTTGTATTCTGATAATTAAGCCTGTCTCATGGTGATTAGTAGTACCTTGCTCTTAATGCTTGTCATTCTGATAATTAAGCCTGTCTCATGGTGATAAGCAGTACCTTGTTCTTAATGCTTGTCATTCTGATAATTAAGCCTATAGCCCAGTCAATAGAAGGAATAGTGTTATTTGTGTCTTTCACAATATTAGGTTCATATCAACGCAAAACAAACTGGAGGCTCTAAAGGGCCTGTGAAGCCTACCTTGGTCTTTATCAGGCCTGGGGCCATTACATAGCAATGTAATGCATTATATTACAATTACTTTGTGATTCTTCCATTATAATTACAATTACAATTACATTTTTTCTGACATGTAATGCATTACATAACAATTACTTTGCCTGTGTAATGCATTACATTACACGTTACTTTTTCAATATAAAAACTAAAAACATTTCAAAAACAGATTTTTACCAATTTGTAATGAAAAGTAATGTACAGTAATGGAAGCAATACATTGATTTTTAACTAAAGTAATCATTACATTACATGTAATTGTAATGCAGAAAATGTGCATTACAAATTACTTTGCATTACATAAAAAAAATGTAATATTACAATGCATTACAATTACAAATTACCATTACCCAAGGCCTGGTCTTTATGAATATTCAACGATGGACACTCTCTAATATTGTAGACAAGAATAGAATTCATGACAAACATCTGTTTTGCTGATTTTGTTTTGCTGATCATTATGTCTGTTTAGTTTCTCTCTATCTTCTTTAGTTTTTGCTCAAAACACACAAGAGAGTAAAACAATTATAATCTAAGGGCAGTCACTCCTAAAACAAGAGGCTCTCAAGAGCCTGAATCACTCACCTGTATTTCAGAGAAGATTTTAAAATGTTAGCAAACTTGATGAACAAATTGTGTAAAATTGTCTTTAAAGGGCAATAACTCCTTAAGGGGTCAATCGACAATTTTGGTCATATTAACTTTTTTGTAGATCTTACTTTGCTGAACATTATTTCTGCTTACAGTTTATGTATATCTATAATTATATTCAAAATAATAACAAAAAACTGCAAAATTTTGTTAAAACTACCATTTCGGTGGCAGCAACCCAACAATGGGTTGTTCGATTCGTCTGATAATTTCAGGGCCGATAGATCTTGACCAAATAAACAATTTTACCCCTGTCACATTTGCTCTAAAAGATTTAGTTCTTGAGATATAAGCCAAAAACTGCATTTTGACCCTTATGTTCTATTTTTAGCCATGGCGGCCATGTTTGTCGATGGAAACAAACTTCGGATACAATTTATAAACAAGATACCCTAAGAAACATTTAGTTAAAGTTTGAAGGTAATTGGCCCAGTAGTTTCAAAGGAGAAGATTTTAAAATGTTAGCACACTTGATGAACAAATTGTGTAAAATTGTCTTTAAAGGGCAATAACTCCTTAAGGGGTCAATCGACAATTTTGGTCATATTAACTTTTTTGTAGATCTTACTTTGCTGAACATTATTTCTGCTTACAGTTTATGTATATCTATAATTATATTCAAAATAATAACAAAAAACTGCAAAATTTTGTTAAAACTACCATTTCGGTGGCAGCAACCCAACAATGGGTTGTTCGATTCGTCTGATAATTTCAGGGCCGATAGATCTTGACCAAATAAACAATTTTACCCCTGTCACATTTGCTCTAAAAGATTTAGTTCTTGAGATATAAGCCAAAAACTGCATTTGACCCTTATGTTCTATTTTTAGCCATGGCGGCCATGTTTGTCGATGGAAACAAACTTCGGATACAATTTATAAACAAGATACCCTAAGAAACATTTAGTTAAAGTTTGAAGGTAATTGGCCCAGTAGTTTCAGAGGAGAAGATTTTTAAATGTTAGCACACTTGATGAACAAATTGTGTAAAATTGTCTTTAAAGGGCAATAACTCCTTAAGGGGTCAATTGACAATTATGGTCATATTAACTTTTTTATAGATCTTACTTTGCTGAACATTATTGCTGCTTACAGTTTATATATATCGATAATAATATTCAAAATAATAACAAAAAACTGCAAAATTTTGTTAAAACTACCAATTCGGTGGCAGCAACCCAACAATGGGTTGTTCGATTCATCTGAAAATTTCAGAGCTGATAGATCTTGACCAACTGAACAGTTTTACCTCATGTCAGATTTGCTCTAAAAGCTTTAGTTTTGGAGATATAAGCCAAAAACTGTATTTGACCCCTATGTTCTATTTTTAGCCATGGCGGCCATGTTTGTCGATGGATCAAAACTTCGGATACAATTTATAAACTAGATACCCTAAGGAACATTTAGTTAAAGTTTGAAGGTAATTGGCCCAGTAGTTTCAGAGGAGAAGATTTTTGAAATAGTTTACGACGACAGACGACGACGACAGACGACGGACGCCAAGTGATGGCATAAGCTCACATGGGGCCCTTCAGGCCCGGTGAGCTAAAAAGTGACAGTCTACTTACTTTATTGGCAAAATTAGACTTGTTAGTAGATCTTGTCTTGCTGATCACTTTTGCTTATTTGAGTTTCTATCTATCTATCTATTATAAGTTTCATCATATAGGACAAAATGCCAAAAAATGGTAAAAAACTGTCATTAAAGGAAAATAACTCGAATAAGAAGTCGGATGATTTCCACTCCATTGACTTAATTGTAGATCTTCTCTTGCTGATAATTTTTGCTTAAGTCTCTATTAAGCTATTATAACATGTATAATTTTTAACATGTTTAAGATATAAGCAAAAAACGCCAATAAAAAAATAAAACTAAAAATTGTCGTCACATGGCAATAACTCCAAGAAGGATTTGACTGACGATTTTAACCATTAAGACTTATTTGTAGAACTTGTGTTGCTGATCATTTTTGCAATTAAAAGTTTCTCTCTATTTATAATTATTTTCAAAATGATAGGCAAAAATAAAACAAAAGGTAAAATTGTCATTCAAGAACAATAACTACTATCAGAAGTCATCTGACTGTTTTGAAATTTATGGACAATTGATAACGTTCATCATTCTGAACATGTCTACCCTTGTCAGATCTTCTCTGTTAATTATAATAGACAAAACTTGCTTTTTACCCCTTTGTTTGATTTTTAGCCATATCGGCCATCTTGGTTGGCAGTCGGGTTCATCTGACACAGATTTCGAAACTAGATACCCAATTGATGATTGTGACCTAGTTTGGTTATATTTGCCTGTAGATTTAGAGAAGATTTTTGAAAAAGTTTACAGCAGAAGACGGTCGCCAAGTGATAAAAAAAAGCTCACTTGGAATGGACCAGATGAGCTAAAAAGTAAAGCTGTTCACCTTAGTTATGATGTGATCAAGACATAATCTTTCAATCAGTTTAATTGAGGTCTGGAGTTGGCATGTCAGTAACTGCTAGAAGTCCTTTGTTAATTTATGTATCATTGTCATTTTGTTAAGTTTCTTTTGTTACCTATTCTGACATCGGACTCTGACTTCTTTTAAACTGAGTTTTACTGGGAGTATTGTTGTGTGTTTGTTTTTTTCTACATTGGCTAGAGGTATAAGGGGAGGGTTGAGATCTCAAAAAACATATTTACTTACCCCCCCCCCCCCCCCCCCCTCGCATTTTTGCACCTGTCCCAAGTCAGGAGCCTCTGGTCTTTGTTAGTCTTGTATGATTTTTAACTTTAGTTACTTTTATATATTTCGGAGTTTAGTATGACGTCCACTGAACTAGTATACATTTTTGTTTAGGTGCCAGCTGAAGCACGCCTCAAGGTGGGGGATTTTCTCGCTGCATTGAAGACCCATTGGTGGCCTTCGGCTGTTATCTGCTCTTTGGTCGGGTTGTTGTCTCTTTGACACATTCCCCATTTTCATTAGGTGACTGTATTACTAATTACCTGTTTCTGCTTTGATGATTCTTCTTACCTGCAAACAAAAATTAAATATTTGCTTTTACAAAACAAAGATTAAAACCCTATTGACAATGTTCAATATTTGATGTTATATATTTACTGAAACAAACAGGAAAAGTATATCTATTTCATATATTTTGACATACGACAGAGTTATTATGAAATAGACACTTTGTTAGCTTGTTTGTAAGGCAAACGTTGAAATCATAAATGCTAGAATACAATTTTCTCTGCATTAGTCAGATTGACAACCAATAAGTTTGGTCTTTAGCAGCACTTCCACCGTTTTCTAATTCCTATTCATCAATTTCAATATATTAGATTTCCAAGAATTCTATTACTCTCAAATTGTGCATTCAATGGCTAACATATTGTTATTCTTTGCATGTTTCATGAGAAAGACAATGAATTTCAACAGAAGAGCAAGACCGTCTCACCATTTCAGTGGACCAGAATTAACCCTAAGTGTTTTGATGGGTTCCTGTTGTTTGCTTGTACTTTGATTACATGTGTAGTGTTACAATTACTTCTGTTTGACTTTACATCTTTTCTTTTTTCCCTTTTACTTTTCTTTACTTTGATTAAAACCTTGGTGTCTTATAATTTTTATTGGAAAATTTCAGTACATTTGTCTTCAAAAGGATAATATAACAAACAATTTTTCATTTAAAGGTGAAATGAAAGAGTATTTTAAAAACTATGTACAAACTTACTTGACACAAAACATGGGTTGATATACCCATGCTGATCAGAGCTTCTGACAAAGTTTTGAAATTGCATTTAGCTTTCATCTCTTTCCACTTTGATAACAGCAAAAATTTGGCAACCTGTATATCTTTAGGATGATTGTATTCGACATCTTTCCATATCCTTACCATTCCAAGATGTGTAACTAATTCATGCATTTGATTTGATTCACAGTGGTTTGAAAAACGCAGAAGTTCAATATCACTTGGTGTCTTGCTTAAAGCATCATCATTTAAACCTGAAATAAACATTGCAAACATGATCTTTACCTTCATAACCATCATTAGAACAGAAATATGTCTTATAAAAGCAGAGGATTTTAGGATGTGCAATTACTCAACAAGCAAAACATGAGGAAAAGTGCTTGAAAAAAGTGCAGAGTTATGAAAAGCGATCATAATGATATAACTTACATACATGTAATATGTACCACAAAGACATTAAATCATCAACCAGATCTAAATTAATACACTGTGCTTGAAAAAAACAAATCATTTTTGACTTTTGATTCCATCTCTTTCTTCCACACACACACTATTCCATTTAATATAATTCAGTAAAGCTGTGCGATACCAGGGTAGGAAACTCACTGGAAATGTCTACCAGACCACAGGGCTGGCTGCATAAAAAAATTTCCTGTCCTGATCAAAATTTACCAGACCTGAAAATTAATGCAATAAAAATCCAACCCATTTTCCTTCAAGATTCTAAATTATGTTTTTGTGTTTTGAGATGTTTTAATGACTAAAAGTATTATTAGATAAACTTGGGGATATTTTGATGAAAATGACTTATGACTGCTTTTGTAAATACACACTGCAACAAGACTTACAAGTGCACATGTTAGCCTAATGACCATTTGTTCAGAAGCAAGGTGTGATTTCATTTTTAGAATTTGGGGTGGGCACTGGGGGGTGTTAGTTTGTCTTCAGTGTAATTCAGCATGCCTTTGTTTGTAACTTTGTTCCACAAAATTACTTTTAAGCAAATAAAAAATTTTGTACTTTCAATTTCCTCTAATATTTATCTTTTATTTAATAAGCGTGATTGCGATTGGACGATTCGATACCAACTAGCCAATGAGTGCGGATCTTACAAACAACAGGTATCACCATGTTCCCTGCAGAAAAATGTGGAAGTAAAAGGTTAATTGGCAGTCATGAATCTTACGTACTGTTATGAATGGGGTAATACTGAGAACTCATTCCAAAAATAGAAAAAGGTAATCCCAACCACCTGCAAAAAAAAAACCGTCCACCGGACTGTTGAAATATAATTTTTGACCTCCCGATCGTAAAATAGGCCCTCTCGGGCGGGCTATAATTTCCAACTCTGGCGATACTCTCTAAAAATAGATATCACAGCGAATAAAATTCTAGATATTCCATCATAGAAACTTGACAAGTACATTTTGATCACCACCAATTAATAAGGTTGTACAGAAGATCTAACAAAGATATCTCTTATACATATATATCCTCTTTCAAGATCTCACAAAAATTCCCCCATTTAAAGTACATAGAAGGACAGCTAAACAAACAGATTAACAGGTTTCACAACACAAGTCTCTACGGATTGGAATTATTTTGAAGTGACAAAATAGTTACCTTGACAATCCTCTTCGCATTGTTCTTTAGTCTGCAGAAAAATGAATATGCAAATTATTATTTTGAATGAAATGTATGGCAGATTCTAATAATATATTATTATAAGTATGTTTAAAATGCACATTATATTTTATTCAACTGGTATTAAACAGCCATCTTTAATACCTTGTACATACATTCATACAGATACTAGCATTAATGGTACTTATATTTATATTACTGCAACAGATTATTTCAACAACAATTAATGTCTATTCAGTACTAGTGATACTCGAGGCCAAATTATTAGATATTTTCAAACCTATTATCGGTGCCAGGAATATATTACTTGTACCTTAGTTGTATTTGGCAAAACCTTTTTGAAATAATGCTCAATGCTCTTCAACTTCTTATTTTGATTCGAGCCTCAATGATGAGTCTTTTGTAAACGCAAAGCGTGTCTGGCATACAAAATTTTAATCCTGCCAGTTACGATGAGTTTATTGAGAACAAAAGTTTATATCATTAGAGATGACTTCAGCTTCCCCTTTGTTATATTTCCGTTGAGATTTAGTACCATTCCAGCACCGCTTGCATATGAAGCATATCATGATTTTCTTGACAAGGGTTGCTGCTTACACAGCACCATCTAGAACCATTGTCAATTTCATTCTTCTTAAAAGAGTGAAGGTGGCCTTAAAATTTGTCTATTTGACACAAAAAAAATATATAGAATTCTTTTCCTTCGCTATATCTTTCATCTGTATTTCAATCAAGCAAGGTTATACTCAAGTTATCATGTGAAAAACACAGAGGGACCGAAGAACAGACAAACAGATTGATGGACTGAGAAAACGATTACAAATTGCTCCTGAAAAGCATTTTCAGGCAGCATAATTAGAAATTCATAAATATAAATTGATACAAAGTCTGCCAGATAGGGCTCAACGCAATAAAATAAGTTGTTTGTACAATGACTTGTTTGACTCTTCGATGCTTACTTGCTTAATCATGTTGCCCCTCCGTTGAGCATAGGCTACTAACTACTCTTGGATGCTTGTTCCTTATTATATTCTATGATTAATTTGTGTTTGATTTGATTATGTTACTCATTTGTTTATTTACTTTTTCCCTGATATGTAAAACACACCTGATCTTGATTCCAAACACGCCAGTGTCCTGTTTTGTGTGTTTGGTTATGTTTGTCACAAATCCATCCATTGGTCTGCAGGGCTTCCTCTTCACTGATGAAGCATTTCAAATTTGAACATGTATATTCAATGTGAAATGGTGATTGTTGGCTCCGTTTTGCATGGATTGTGGACTGATAGAAATCTGAAATTCTTTCCATTGTTATAACCAAGCATTCTTTGACCCCGGTAGCTATATCTGGTACTATAAGTCCAGCGGAGGTTCTATGGACGATGTAAAGAAGAATCTTGTTGCCTTCAACGCATACAACAATATCATGTGACTTGTCAAACGATAAACCAATAAATCCTGAAAACAGGAGTTTTCTTCCTTCGTACTGCTTGACGGTCCACATGCTCAGACATGCACTGATCAGACGATTGGGCAAAGCTGGTGGTATTATAGTCCCTTTAAAAAGAAACGCTAAGCATATAGCTCTCTCTGGTGTACACTCTTTGTCCATGAAGTTGGTAGTATTTCTCTCTGTAACCATACAGGGAACAAAGAAGTTTTCCACTGGTAAGCGACTTCCTGTAGTTGTATCATATCTCCTTTGCTCTGCCAAGATATCTAAATAAATCAGGATGTTAAATATAAACTCTTTGTATGGTAAAATTGCACTGAAATCTGTTTGCTGCCAAATTAGGTAGAGGTCTTCCCGTCTTATGGTCCCACATTTTGACATTCTTTTGAAAGTTTCCTGAATTCTCGTTTCCTCGGGCCAAAATACTTTATCTGCAAAATATAACAAATATAAAAAACTATTTTAAAAAGAGATGATGTGGTATGATTGCCAATGTAACAACTATCCACCAGAGACCAACCAACTTGAATGTAAGTCTCATAAGGTTAATATAAAAAGAGATGATGTGGTATAATTGCCAATGTTACAACTTTCAAACAGAGACCAACCAACTTGAATGCAAGTCACATAAGGTTAATATAAAAAGAGATGATGCGGTATGATTGCCAATGTAACTACTATCCACCAGAGACCAACCAACTTGAATGTAAGTCACATAAGGTTAATATAAACAAGAAGATGTGGTATAATTGCCAATGTAACAACTATCCACCAGAGACCAACCAACTTGAATGTAAGTCTCATAAGGTTTAACATGTAATTAATCAATGTTCACTTGAAAGCAAATTTTTATTCTACTTTTAAGGAAATCTTGAAGGTTACTAATTTATAAACCTTGAACAAGAATTTGTTTCCATAGGACACCTTGCCCCTCTCACAAATTATCCTAAGTCCATGATATATGTGTGAACTGTGAACTGAATGGCAGAGAGAGTCTTTAGAAAAGACTACAGATGTTATAAATGCTGCAACTGAGAAATATTGCGACATCGACATAAATACCTGTCAAAAAGGACCTCAAAACATGTATAATAAGAATTGATATAACTAGATATCATTGAGATGGAAGCCATCTCTGTGGGCCCGCTGTGAATAATGTGTGGTAAAAAATTTGTATTTTTACCATAGGATATGGGGTTGTCAACCTAGACCAAAGTTTTTGACCTTGACCTTTGAACTAGGAAGTTGTACATACATTATGACACACCCTTTGGTGTTGGTTAATATACATGTCATGTATAAACTTTGAAATCATAACGGTTCTCTAAATATAGAGCGAACTCGATCATTATCATAGGACATGGGGTTGTCAAATGAAACCAAAGTGTTTGACCTTGCCCTTTGACCTAGGAAGTTATACATACATTATGACAAACCCTCTGGTGTTGGTTAATATACATGTCAAGTATAAACTTAGAAATCATAACGGTTCTCTAGATATAGAGCGGATATGATCTTTACCATAGGACATGTAGCTGTCAAATGAAACCAAAGATTTTGACCTTGACCTCTGACCTAGGAAGTTGTACATACATTATGACACACCCTCTGGTGTTGGTTAATATATATGTCAAGTATAAACTTTGAAATCATAACGGTTCTCTAGATATAGAGCGGACAAGATTTGTTATGGACAGACGGACCGACATACTGATCACTATAGGGCGTCCACCATTCGGCGGGGACCTAATTACCTGTCACAAAGGACCTTTGACCTAGGAAGTTGTACATACATTATGACACACCCTCTGGTGTTGGTTAATATACATGTCAAGTATAAACTTTGAAATCATAACGGTTCTCTAGATATAGAGCGGACACGATCTTTATGATAGGACATGGGGTTGTCAACTGAAACAAAGTGTTTGACCTTGCCCTTTGACCTAGGAAGTTATACATGCATTATGACAAACCCTCTGGTGTTGGTTAGTATACATGTCAAGTATAAACTTAGAAATCATAACAGTTCTCTAGATATAGAGCGGATACGATCTTTACCATAGGACATGTAGTTGTCAACTGAAACCAAAGATTTTGACCTTGACCTCTGACCTAGGAAATTGTACATACATTATGACACACCCTCTGGTGTTGGTTAATATATATGTCAAGTATAAACTTTGAAATCATAACGGTTCTCTAGATATAGAGCAGACACGATTTGTTATGGACAGACCGACGGACATATTGATCACTATAGGGCATCCACCATTCGGCGGGGCCCTAATTACCTGTCACAAAGGACTTCATAAACTCCATAATATTTATTGATATAGATACCTGTCACAAAGAACCTTTTAACCTCCATAACCAGTCTTGACACAAACTTTTAGGATCTCATAACCATCATAATATGAATTGACATAGATACCTGTCACAAAGGATCTCATAACCTCCATAATAAGTATTGATATAGATACCTGTCACAAAGGATCTCATAACCTCCATAATAAGTATTGACAAGGATACCTATCACTAAGGACCTTAAAACCTCCATACTAAGTATTGACATGAACATCTTTCACAAAGGACATCGTGACCTCTATATTATTTAAAGTATTGACATAAATACCTGTCACAAAGGACTTCATAAACTCCATAATATTTATTGATATAGATACCTGTCACAAAGAACCTTTTAACCTCCATAACCAGTCTTTACATAAAAACTTGTCACAAACTTTTAGGATCTCATAACCATCATAATATGAATTGACATAAATACCTGTCACAAAGGATCTCATAACCTTCATAATAAGTATTGATATAGATACCTGTCACAAAGGATCTCATAACCTCCATAATAAGTATTGACAAGGATACCTGTCACTAAGGACCTTAAAACCTCCATACTAAGTATTGACATGAATATCTTTCACAAAGGACATCGTGACCTCTATATTATTTAAAGTATTGACATAAATACCTGTCACAAAGGACCTCATAACCTCCACCATGAGTAAGGGGTTGATGATTACGAAATCTTTCAGCTGTGGAGTATCAAAGTAAACAATCTTCCCCAGTGAGTGGTGGAAATTTAGGAAATCTTTGAGTTGGTCTGGGGACAATACAGACACCTTGCTTATAGCATTTAATTCTTCAACATCCTCCAATGACAAGATTTGTTTTCCATCTGCCACGAGCTCTGCAATCTCGAGTTCTAGGGGAACACAAGCGTTGGGCATCTTCTCCCCCCAACAAGGATGTTCAAAAGTAAGTTCTGTGATGGCTTTCTTGAGGACTTCAATTTCTGGATCTGTGTTATCCCTTGCATTGACAAATATCCGTTTTGTTAGGACTAGATGGTGTTGTCCCTCATGGTCCTTGAACAATTCCTCTACTCCATTGTACAACTCCTCACGCCTGGACTCCACATCCTCCTTAAAAGTGATAATTTAAGATGACCTTATCCTTCTTTTTAAAATTACAATTTTTCTTAATGATGATAGTAATCAAAGCACTGTAAGCGCTGTAGGCAGTTAACCGAAAACCAAGGCAAACGTAATTATGAAAACTGTGGCAGTGTTGCTTCAATTTTTTTTTTAAGATTTGAAAGAACAAACATTAAACATTCGTATATTGTACATTTATGTTTATTTAATGAATTTATTATTAAGGCAAATTAACTTATATTTAATCAAGGTTTTCAAAAGCAACGCATATATCAATGTTTATTTTTAACAAGTTTAATGGTGAGTCTACAGTGGTACAAGTTCACTATGATTGCAGTTGTTCTAATTGGTAGTTAACTTTGGTACCAGTTGACTTTTAGTGGTACAAGTTGACGTAGTACGAGTTTGTAATTGTATGAATGGACTTGCTTCCCTGGAAGGAACACTGAGTTTGGGTTCTACAGTAAAAAAGTTATGAGACACAAATCAGACAAATGTTTACTACTACAGGGATCAAATGTGAGGTATGACTGCCCTGCCCATAGTAAATGTAAATGAACCCCACCTTCACCCCAAGTCCATGATGTCACTTCATACCAAGTTTGGAATAAAATGACAGGTGATTATAAAACAGTTGGTTAAACATTCTTGGGCTTTACACTGCTTGAAAGATTTAGATGTTTTCTTTAAAATGAGCCATAAATGAAAATTAGGCCCAGAAATAATTCAAAAAATAATTAAAGTAAATTCAATTTACCTAGACTCATTTTTTGCATCAATAAAATTTCATAATAAGAAATAATTGTAACAGGATGCTGTTACGAAGTCTCCCAAACAAAGCTCCCTTAATTTGTCATTCCCATGGTCGCCTGACATTGTGCAAAGTCCAGTACACATTGGTTTGGTCTAGTAAAGTGATATGCATATGTGACGCCTAGGAGATTGACCCTGTATGTCATTCAAATCAGGCATAAATATGGTTTAGGAGTGTATATCTCAACTGTTTACAAGTTCTCAAACAGGAGGGGGTTGGTTGACCCCAGGGACTCCCCCTATATTTCATTTGATTTGTTATATTGTCCCATACATGAATATATACGGTTTAGTGGTGGGGATCTCGACCGTTTACAAGTTCTCAAACATGAGGGGGTGGGGTGATTTCCGGTTTTTCATTCATAAAATAACAACAAGTTCAGTGATAAACGGAATAATTTAATTAAAGAAAGGAATTTAAATGTGCATACATTTAATTGAAATCAATTAAATAATCACAATCTCCTTAAACTTAAAGAATATCATGATTAACAATACTTTCGTTTAATCGGACTTTATATCATCAGAATCAAACGAACTTATGTTTCGTGTAAGTCAAAATTACCGCCAACTTAAGACTACATGTGTACTATATATAACTTTATTTCCTCTATCATAGAGATTTGGTGTACATGAACAATATTCCTGCGCATTTTGCCATTTGGGAAATATATAAGACTTGTAATTACAGATTTTCTGCGATGAAATATTTCATTCAATTGTTCTTTGACATCTTAGCCAAAAGCACTGGGGAAAATAAACTACGTACGGATTTCTATTGAGCACTATTTCCTATGTGCAACTTCAAATATTATGGGTCGTTTCGACGATCATTTAAGGTTATTCTGGTCATATTTTTTATATTCCAGAATTAAAAGAATGAAAAAAATATCCAATTAGTTATAAATAACATATTAGCCTGCTAGATTACAACAATGGCATTTTTTTCAGCATTCGTTGGGAAGAACACAAATCTAGGGTGCTAGCATAAGGCAGCTTAACTGCCTAAAAATACCAAGGACTTAACAAACAATACATATTTTCTGAGTACTTATTTACTTTTTAATACAATACAATGGTTAACAAGATTCAAGACAAAACTTGTATCTTACCCCTCTGTTCTATTTTTAACCATGTTGGCCATCTTGCTTGGCAGGCAGAATATTTTATAAACTAATTACCATAATGATGATTGTGGCCAAGTTTGGTTAAATTTGGACCAGTAGTATTGACTTATTTGGATATCTCATTCTGGTCTAATTAATAATTTTTGCTCATTAAAGTTTCTCTCATACTGTAAATGTTTACTAGATATAGATAATAGGCAAAAATGAAAAAAAAAATGTGATAAAATTTATCATTAAAGGGCAATATTTCCAATAAGGAGTCCACTGTAATTTCTGGCCATGTTGACTGATTTGTAGATCTTTTCTTGCTGATCATTTATGCTTTTAAAATGAAAGTTTATTTCTATTTATTATACTTTTTAAGATATAGGCAAAAACGCAAACAATTGGTAAAAAATCCTCATGAAAGGGCAATAGCCAAATAACGAGTCATCTGACCATTTGGCAATGAGTCATAATTGTAGATCTTTTTATACTGATAATGCTCATTAAAGTCTCTCTCTATCTGCTATTGTTTTCCAGATGATAGGCAAAAATGAAAACAAAAAATGGTAAAAAGTCATTTAACCCCTTCGCCCCAATCCCGCCTGTAGTCATGATGGCGACCACCATTCTGTGATGGCCCGTATGACCCGCCATACTTATTTGGAACTGCCCCCACTGAACTGTTTTGACAGCAGGGACTTCAACCATGCAATTCATGATCCATAAACTCTTCTCAGATATCTGTTTATGAAAATATGGTAACTTTAATGGCCTTTTAAGAGTTCAAAATCCGAAAAACGTGAAAATTAGCCAAAATCAGGTGGGGGTGGGTGTCTTTTGATGGCCACTACATAATTGGTATGGGTTGTAGGCATAAGCTAATATCATAAATACATGAGTAAGTGGTACAGAAACACAAGGAAGTATAATATGGCCACAAAAAATCTGGTCTGTAAAATCTAGGTCACCGTTTTGTCAGAAATCCGTAAAAACGGACATTTAGGCAGGATAATAAAAATTCTCCAGCAAGACACTAAAGTCACATTTACTTCCAGTTAGTATGGATAGACTGCTGTCACTATAAAGTAATACTTGAATGACCAGGAAACACAGTTTCCTCTATGTTCACCTCTCAAGGTCGTATTAAAATAAACTAGAGGCTCTAAAGAGCCTGTGTCGCTCACCTTGGTCTATGTGCATATTAAACAAAGGACACAGATGGATTCATGACAAAATTGTGTTTTGGTGATGGTGATGTGTTTGTAGATCTTACTTTACTGAACATTCTTAATCCTTACAATTATCTCTATCTATAATGAACTTGGCCCGGTAGTTACAGTGGAAAATATTTTGTAAAAATTTATAAAAATTTACAAAATTTTTGAAAATTGTAAAAAATTGACTATAAAGGGCAATAACTCCTTAAGGGGTCGATTGACAATTTTGGTCATGTTGACTTATTTGTAGATCTAAATGCTGTACATTATTGCTGTTTACAGTTTATCTCTATCTATAATAATATTCAAGATAATAACCAAAAGCTGCAAACTTTTCTTAAAATTACCAATTCAGGGGCAGCAAACCCAACAACGTGTTGCCTAATTGGTCTGAAAATTTCAGGGCACATAGATCTTGAACAATTTTATCCTTATCAGATTTGCTCTAAATGCTTTGGTTTCAGAGATATGAGCCAAAATATGCATTTTACCATATGTACTATTTTTTAGCCATGTCGGCCATCTTGGTTCGCGGGCGGGGTCATCAGACACATTTTTTAAACTAGATACCCTAATTATGATTGTGGACAAGTTTGGTTAAATCTGTCTTAGTAGTTTCAGAGGAGAAGATTTTTGTAAAAGATTACAAAAATTTACGAAAAATGATTAAAAATTGATTATAAAGGGCAATAACTCCTTAAGGGGTCAACTGACCATTTTGGTCAAGTTGACTTATTTGTAGATCTTACTTTGCTGAACATTATTGCTGTTTACAGTTTATCTCTATCTATAATAATATTCAAGATAATAACCAAAAACAGCAAAATTTTCCTTAAAATTACCAATTCAGGGGCAGCAACCCAACAACGGGTTGTCCGTTTCAACTGACAATTTCAGGTCAGATAGATCTTGACCTGATAAACAATTTTATCTCTGTCAGATTTGCTATAAATGCTTTGGCTTTCAGAGATATAAGCCAAAATCTACATTTTATCCCTGTTCTATTTTTAGCCAAGGCGGCCATCTTGGTTGGTTGGCCGGGTCACCGGACACATTTTTTAAACTAGATACCCCAATGATGATTGTGGATAAGTTTGGCTCAGTAGTTACAGAGGAGAAGATTTTTGTAAAAGTTAACGACGACGGACGGACGACGACGCGACGGACGCCAAGTGATGAGAAAAGCTCACTTGGCCCTTTTTTCAGTAGGGGTGGGTTAAGACCATGTGGGCCAGGTGAGCTAAAATTAATATATTTTGTTAAATTGATATCTGGCATCCATAAAAACAGATCCCAATTTCATAATGTGTGCAATCTTTCTGTGAAGACCTTTTAGAAAGTCTAAGGGATCTGGATTGAAAACTGTAGGCGGGGTTGATTTCACAATTAAAGTACTTTAAGTTTCCATACCTGCCTGCAGACAATGAACATACTATTTGGATTTTATCTTATATTGTACTAGTACACCAGATATCACTCACCTTGTACATTTGTTGTAAAGTACACCTGATATCACTCACCTTGTTCATTTGTCATACAGAACACAGGCTATCACTCACCTTGTACATGTGTTGCATAGTACACCGGCTATCACTCACCTTATACATTTGTTGTATAGTACACCTGGTATCACTCACCTTGTTCATTTGTCATACAGAACACAGGCTATCACTCACCTTGTACATGTGTTGTATAGTATACCGGCTATCACTCACCTTGTACATTTGTTGTACAGTACAACGGCTATCAATCACCTTGTACATTTGCCACATGTGGAGCAGGATCTGCTTACCCTACCTGAGCACCTGAGATCACTCCCAGTTTTTGGTGGGGTTTGTGTTGCTAAGTCTTTAGTTTTCTATGTTTTGTCATCTGTACTATTATTTGTCTGTTGTCTTTTTATTTTTGGCCATGGCGTTGTCAGTTTATTTTCGATCTATGAGTTTGACTGTCCCTCTGGTATCTTTCGTCCCTCTTTTGTTGTACAGTACACCTGATATCACTCACCTTGTTCATTTGTCATACAGTACACAGGCTATCACTCACCTTGTACATGTGTTGTATAGTACACCGGCTATCACTCACCTTGTACATGTGTTGTATAGTACACCGGCTATCACTCACCTTGTACATGTGTTGTATAGTACACCGGCTATCACTCACCTTGTACATGTGTTGTATGGTACACCGGCTATCACTCACCTTGTACATTTGTTGTACAGTACAATGGCTATCGATCACCTTGTACATTTGTTGTATAGTACACCGGCTATCACTCACCTTGTTCATTTGTCGTACAGTACACCGGCTATCACTCACCTTGTACATGTGTTGTAAAGTACACCGGCTATCACTCACCTTGTACATGTGTTGTACAGTACACCAGCTATCACTCACCTTGTACATTTGTTGTATAGTACACATGACATGACTCACCTTGTACATTTGTTGTATAGTACACTGGCTATCACTCACCTTGTACATTTGTTGTATAGTACACCTGATATCATTCACCTTGTACAGTACACCGGCTTTCACTCACCTTGTAGATTTGTTGTATAGTGCACCTGATATCACTCACCTTGTACATTTGTTGTATGGTACACCAGCTATCACTCACCTTGTACATTTGTTGTATAGTACACCTGATACCACTCACCTTGTACATTTGTTGTATAGTACACCGGCTATCACTCACCTTGTACATTTGTTGCACAAAATATTGAAGATTAATGCTACTTACTCTCAATACAGTTAAATGTATTCTAAGGTTACATTAGCTTATAAATGCCAAAGATAAATCGTAAATATATTTGTCTATTGTTGATAGCTGTATGTTGACTGCTAAAGTTCTTTGGTTTTTATGATGTTGGGCTGCTGTCTTACTTACCAACACAAATATCTATTATTAGTCATATGAATCAATTAAATTGAGAATGGAAATGGGGAATATGTCAAAGAGACAACAACCCGACCAAAGAGCAGACAACAGCCGAAGGCCACCAATGGATCTTCAATGCAGCGAGAAAATCCCGCACCCCCGGGGGTGGTCCTCAGCTGGCCCCTCAATAAAATTGTGTGCTAGTTCAGTAAAAATGGATGTCACACTAAACTCCAAAACATATAAATGAACTAAAATTAAAAAACATACAAGACTAACAAAGGCCAGAGGCTCCTGACTTGGGACAGGCGCAAAAATAGAAAGAAACAATTATGACCCATTGAACAAGAATTTTGCCATGAGTTAAAATTAACCATGTCATATTAAATGAATAAAAGACAATCTGAATCTTTAATTAAGAACTATAAATAAATAACTGGACATGGGAAAAGATTGACTTGATCAGCCTCCTGTTTATATCTAAATTACTTACCATTGGTACTTTGTCTTTCATGGTTACAATTAATTAAGAACATTAAATAAATAAAAAGATTGGTACTTTGTCTTTATGGGTGGCAACAAACAAGATCTAAGGACTGCCTGTATTAAAGACCTATCTATATCTTTTTTACTTACAATTGGTACTTTGTCTTTATGGGTGGCAACAAACAAGATCTAAAGACTGCCTGTATTAAAGACCTATCTATATCTTTTTTACTTACAATTGGTACTTTGTCTTTATGGGTGGCAACAAACAAGATCTTTGGAATGCCTTCATATACCACCTTACAATATGTTAGGATTGAGTTAACCCAATGTTGTAGAAATACTGAAATATAAAAACAACAAAAATTAAATAGAAGTTTAAAAAAAAGGTGGCTGACAGATAATTTTTGACGAAGGAAATCCATTTGAAATAAAAGACATCTACTGTCCCCCGCATTGCACATATTTTATCTGGCCAAGGTCCAAGGTCAATTTCTAAAAAGAAAAACACTTTTTATGTTCATTAATTTTTTTTAAAAATAAATTGGAGGAATAAAGACTTGACAGCAAATGCAATGCAATTTCCGATATAGTTAATATTTCCAAGAGGCATAAATCATTAAGTATATTTGATCATCACTTATTTTCAAAATTTTCCAAGACATTGCTAATATAAATCTGATATCAATTTCATAAAAATCTGTCAAGAATTGTACACATGAGAGCACTTACAATAAAATTTTCCAATATAATTACTCTTTCCTCTGGGCATTACTCTTTTAAAAATAACTGATCCCCACTGACTTTCGAAATTGTCCAAAATATCGTTGATATAAATCTATGATGTAAGTTTTGTTTACATCTGGTAAGAATTGTACACCATTTTCTGATATAATTACTCTTTCCAAGGGGCATAACTCTTTTAAAATTATTAATCGGCACTGATTTTCGAACTTGTCCAAGATATGGTTGATGTTAACCTATGATATAAGTTTCATTGAAATCTGAAAAGAATTGTACAAATGAGTGCACAATCGATGCAATTTTTTTAATTAATGTTTCCAAGGGGAATAACTCTTTTAGAAATAGTTCATCAGCACTGATTTTCGAAATGGTCCTAGACATTTCTGATATAAAGCTACGATATAAGTTTTATAAAAATCTTGCAATAATTGTACACATGAGAGTGCTAACGAGACGGGACGAAAAGACAGATAGACAGATGCCCAGTATGTCTATATCCCCCAAAACACTTTGTGCAGGGGACAATTACATATATTACCCATATTTCTTTTGAAATTCTAGCACTAAAAGATGTTTCACAAACGCTAAGTTTCTACCATAATTGTTTTCCAATTTCACAAAAATAATTTTTTATCAAGGTCAGAATCAATTAAGAAAAATATATAAAAAGTTGAAATAAAATGCTCTGCAGGGCGCAGCTTGATATGACCGCAGAGGTCGAACCCTGAACAGTTTGGGCAAGTATGGACACAACATTCAAGCTTGATACAGCTTTGCATTTGGATTGTGATTAAATATTTGACACAGCATAGGTTTCTGACACAGAATGAATGTGGTCTAAGAACTTAAAAATTTTAAATTGGACATTCACCTATTATGGTCCAATATCCAAAATCTAAATACATGGTTAGATTCAGCATATCAAAGAACCCCAAGAATTCAATTTTTGATGAAATCAAACAAAGTTTAATTTTGGACCCTTTTGACCTCAATGTGGACAAAGTTGACAACGGGGCCCAAAAATCAAAAATCTAAATACATGGTTAGATTCAGCATATCAAAGAACCCCTTATATTCAATTTTTGTTGAAATCAAATAAAGTTTAATTTTGGACCCCGATTTGGACCAACTTGAAAACTGGGCTCATAATCAAAAATCTAAATACATGTTTAGATTCAGCATATCAATGAACCCTAAGAATTCAATTTTTGTTAAAATCAAACTAAGTTTAATTTTGGACCCTTTGGACCTTAATGTAGACCAATTTGAAAACGGAACCAAAAATTAAGAATCTAAATACACTGTTAGATTCGGCATATCAAAGAACCCCAAGAATTCAATTTTTGATGAAAACAAAGTTTAATTTTGGACCCTTTTGACCTCAATGTGGACAAAGTTGACAACGGGGCCCAAAAATCAAAAATCTAAATACATGGTTAGATTCAGCATATCAAAGAACCCCATGTATTCAATTTTTGTTGAAATCAAACAAAGTTTAATTTTGGACCCCGATTTGGACCAACTTGAAAACTGGGCTCATAATCAAAAATCTAAATACATGTTTAGATTCAGCATATCAAAGAACCTTAAGAATTCAATTTTTGTTAAAATCAAACTAAGTTTAATTTTGGACCCTTTGGACCTTAATGTAGACCAATTTGAAAACGGAACCAAAAATTAAGAATCTAAATACACGGTTAGATTCGGCATATCAAAGAACCCCAATAATTCAATTTTTGATGAAATCAAACAAAGTTTAATTTTGGACCCTTTGGACCTCAATGTGGACCAATTTAAAAACGGGGCCCAAAATCCAAAAACTGAATACACGGTATGATTCAGCATATTAAAAAACCCCAAGAATTCAAGAATAAAACCCCATTGAAATTGGTCAAGAAATAAGCAATTTATACGAAGTATCTTCTCTTGCACAATACTGTGCAATTAAATATTTCTTGCTATTGCGCAATACTGTACAATTGACAATTTCTTGCTATTGCGCAATATTGTGCTATTGGATATTTCTTGCTATTGCGCAATACTGTGCAATTGAAGATTTCTTGCTATTGCGCAATACTGTGCAATTGAAGATTTCTTGCTATTGTGCAATACTGTGCAATTGAAAATTTCTTGCTATTGCACAATACTTATTATATAATAATTTACACATCCTGTTTGGTGTGTATCTCCTACCATATCATTATTATTTGCTTTTAAATATAAATCAGAAATAACCAACTTAAAAATGGAAAATTTTAAAAGAAAAAAAAAGGAAAAAAAAGAAAATAAATGAAAAAAAAAAAAATGTCCCCCCCCCCAAATTTTTTTAACCCCCTTATGATTCATCACCCCCAAACTCAATCCCAGCCTTCCCTTTGTGGTATGGTACCTTGCAGTACAATTTCAGAGAGATCCATACACTTGAACACAAGTTATTGTCTGGAAACTAGAAAAATGTGTTTTTTGGCCCCAAATTCCTAAACGTTTAGGGCAATTACCCCCAAAATCAAACCCAGCTTTCCCTTTGTGATATGGAACCTTGTAGTAAAATTTCAGAAAGATCCATACACTTACACACAAGTTATTGTCATGAAACTAGAAAAATGCTTGTTTTTTGTCCCTTTTTTGGCCCCTAATTCCTAAAATTTTGAGGCAATTACCCCCAAAATCAATCCCAGCATTCCTTTTGTGATATGGAACCTTGTGGTACAATGTCAGAGAGATCCATACACTAACACACAAGTTATGTCTGGAAGTTACAAAAATGCTTATTTTTGGCCCCTAATTCCTTTACTGTTGGTACCATAACCCCCAAAATCAATCCCAACCTTCCTTTTGTGGTATTGAACCTTGTGGTAAAATTTCATAGAGATCCATTCACTTAAACTAAAGTTAGAGTGCGAAAACCAATGTGTCTTCGGACGACGCCATACGACGACGACGCCAACGTCATACCAATATACCACCACAAAAATTTTTTTGCGGTCGTATAAAAATTGGAAGATTAGCTGAAGACAACTTTGTTTTAAATGGTGCATATTGCAAATAAATTCTATTCGGTTATTTTGATTTGTCTTATAACTTAAGGCTGGTCAAGTTTTCTCATACAATCTTGTTACCCACTAAAACAGATTATTATTAAAGAAGAAATAAGTTAGTTGATTTTGAAGAAATACAACATACACCCAGTGTATTTAGTTTTGCTACATGTATTTTGATCACTAGTTTATATGATACTATTAGTTACATAGTGTGCTAGTGACCTAATACAATATATATGGGGTCAGTAAATTTCATATGGGGTGAGAGCGAAGCTCGAATCCCCATATGGAATTTACTCATCCCATATATATCGTTTTAGGTCACTAGCACACTATGTAACGAATTTATCTTACCGACTATCTTAACATGTGGTATTTAGACTAGTGGCCTATCAAAGTGATCAAGTCTTCAATACCGTTAGTATTAAGAACCTATACTTCCATTGGTCTATACAAAAACAAATGCCAACAATAACAACTTGTTAGCTTTAAATGATCTTAAATGTGTTTTATGAATTTATTTCAATAGTTCATCATCCATATCTTCCTCTGTTGAAACCTTTAAGATTTTTCCTCAACACCGTGTTGTTTTTATAAAGGGACGTAACACCATTACTAACCGTGTATTGAAATAAGCCCCGCCTACTAACCCAATATGGAATATACACGGTCTCCACGTGGTTGCTTTTAACCAATCATATTCCTAGAAATGTATAGGAGGTAAGATAAAAAATTGTCTTGTAATTTTTTTTAAGTTTTTTTTTTCTGTACTGACCAAATAAAATTACAATGTGATATAAATAGAAAAGTCTGCCGCCACATCAAAATGAACTGGTATAATTCTCAAATTTCAAAGTTGATGAAGATTAAATAAACAACAGAGGCTGCATATTTATACATCATGGATAGCACTGTGCGATTTAAACTGGTTCTATATTATTAACATAATTTTGTAATTATTATATAATATTTGCTCTGACAATATGTGTCACTTATTCAGTTTTGATGATTTTTTATCACTAGTAGTTTTTTTGTACAGCCATATTAATTAATCAATGAATGATATTTTTTTTCATGGAGAAATTCAAAGTTTCAAAGATGTTGAATGAACTCCACAGATAACAAAGCTATGGTAACTATTCAATGGGACAGTACACTTTGCAAAAATTTAAATAACAGGTAAAATCCAACTTTTTCTTAGGAAAGCTTTGATTGTTTTCACAATATCAAAGTACGTATTGTCACAGTAACCCGGCAGCCTTGTTTTTACTGCTGATAATGTAGATGTTGTTTAACACAGTTAACAACATATGATGTTCAATATGAGTCTTTGTATTGTAACTAACATGCAGTACCTGCTGGGGTTGGTGTCATGTGCTGCCCTGGAAAACACAGAACATCTGGGACTAGCTCATGCAATTGTTTGCTTCCATCAAATACCACGAGAAACAAAGCTCTGAAAGTCATGAAGGTTTGGTGTGTGGTATAGTAGACATACTGTCCACCGAAGTCCCAAAAAATCAGTCTTCCAACTTTCATCTTATAGTCTCCACTCTTAAGGACTTTTTCCATTTTCTTTCTTATTTCTTCTCTTGTCATTTTCGATTTCATGTGCGTTTTCACCTCTGGTCTTCTCTTGGACACACTGTCAGACATTTTAGGTGATAAAGATTTGGCTGCTCGATGCTGTTGGGAGGGGCCACCTGTCATCACTTTATCATCTCTTCTAACAGGATTTGAACCTGGTAGCTGTTTCTCTGGCTTTTCTGATTCTTGTCCTTCATTCTCTTCTACTGAGGTCATTAAAACCTTATTGTAAACAACATCCAATGCATCATACGTTTCTGTAAAATATTATATTGCTTCAATAGATAATATTCAAAAAAGATTTATTCTGGTTTAATAATGTGCAATTGTTATACTGATACAATCTTTTTTTTTAATAATCACCAACAGACATGCTAAAGGCCAAATGCATTGAATGATTGTTAACAAAAACTTAACATGCTTCAAGAGAATAAATAAGGTCCTTATATGTCGTACTGTCTTTTTAGCAAAGACAAAAACTACCATTTTGTCTGTTTTATTCCTGTATTGTAACTTTGGTTGATCAGCAGGAAATTCAGGAATAAATTGGAAGCTAGAAATGATTTAAGTTAAGTTTATTAAGAAGGATCATTTTAAAATGTTTGCAGATAAAAAGCAATGGCAGTAAATGAACAGACGAAAAAACTCAAAAGTTATGTTAATAGCTTATAAATATTTATATGCAATGAATACATTATAGTATTCGAAAATTGTACCGAGGTCATCACTAGTTTGTCTACCATTGTGGAATATCCATCCCCCAGATGACCACTGATAAATTCAAGTTGTAGTATCTACAATCATGTCCTCTTTATTGTCCACGAATATTACATCCCCAAATGAGACTATTACAGACTTTGTGCATAAATAAGCAACACAAATGCATACTTGCCAACCCTCCCGTTTTGAGCGGGAGACTCCTGCACAAACGACGAAATTCTGGAAATCTCCCACTTGCGGGTCCACTCCCACGCGGGAGTATAGAATCTCCTGCTTTCGGATATTTTTACCTGGAATAACCCATGTTCGTAATTCTCTGGCTTTTTCATTACTTTCAATAAAAAATAAATAAACAATCAGTGATCATTTGAAAACTTTTATCAGTAGTTGTTTGATACATAAGTAATCGAAATTCATTTCTGCTATGCCAACTCCAACAAGATAGAGGTCTTTGTCTGGACCAAGCTACAGTGTAAAAAGAAAAAATAAATAACTGCAAATCGAAATGTCAAGCAGATTTGAAAGAAAGATTTAAAATTTTTACGACCAAGTTCACTTGGCAAAGAATCTTTTTGCACATCATGTTTAATCATCTTTTTGATTTCTTCTGGATGTCTGTACGATGTTTGAAAGCATGCTGTAAGTGTGAGACTCACAACAAAATCCAAATATGGAATGTTATGAGTTATGAGACTCAGAGGTATTGAAAAAGGCTAAATAAAACCCCACCTTGTATATATTATAACCATGGATTGAAGAAATAAAGTATATTTATTAACTCTTTTTGGTGTTTTGTAGATGAATACATAAACAGGTCATATATTTAACTTGAAAATGTCGTTTGCGCAAAATATCCCCCTCAGCTGTCATAGCTGAGAGGCAGATCTCCCTCTTTGAAGGTTTCAGAGGTTGGCAGGTATGCAAATGTGTCAGATATTCCACAACGGTAGACAAGCTAGTAATGGTGTCGGTGAAAGTTTTGAAGGGATAACTTGGAGATACATTCTGAATACTCTTCACATTTATGGTCTGCCTGTAAAATAACTTGGATGTACATTGATAATGAATGTTGTACCTATTTAACTTGGAAGGTATTAGTAGAATTACAATAAGAGTAACAAACAGCAAATTACTGAAACAAAGAGTTAAATGATTGTTTTTAAAGACTGGGCGGATGATTTAAATACTGTGGATTCATTTATTTTCGTGGGTATCAATTTTTGTGGATAGAGAAAAAAAGACGTTTCGTGGTCTACATGAATTTGTGGATCGCTGATTACAAAAAAAAAAAATCAGATACGTAATTCGTTGATTTCTTTTTGATATAGGAGATCATATAACCTCCTTGGTTTGATCAATAATAAAACAAACAAAAAAGAAGGAATTCATTGAAAAAGTTTTTAATTGTCAAAATCCTCGCTTGGTCATTCTTGGTTAAATATCCCCGTACTTAATCCTATTGAGTTTTAATCACCAGTAAACCAAACTATGACACAGTAATTAACAACTTGCAGTTATTTTCCATGAACAGTTTTAATCAATTTTAAAAAGTAAATTATCAGTGATATTCCATATATTTATTATTGATTTAATCAAAATACTTGTATCTTCTTTCATTAAAAACACGTGTTATGTTACAATGTTTATCGCTAGTCAACACTATACTAGAACTGCATAACATAATCGGAAATAAACATCCGACTCCATACACATTTCTCGGGATTATTCTTCGTTGAATTCTTAAATTCGTGGTTCGCTGTGACCCACGAAAATTGGTATACCACGAATAAAAATGAATCCACAGTACTTCAATGAGTTTATCTTAAGGAAGTTCGCTACTCAGTTTCAAAATAACAAGCTTTTCATAACACTAGTATATATCGATAGTGGATTAATAAAGGAACCAAATGAGCGAGAAAAAAATAGGTCCGTGTGCTTGTTTTCGAGATATTAGCCATTTATATTTTGGCGGGAAAATGTTCTCTCTTAATTTTTCTTAACTTTATCATTGACAAGTTTAAGTTTTCAAAAACTATTAAAAAACAACAAAGACTTTTACAGATGACTTATAATTATCATGTAAAAGATTTATAAAAAGAAAGATGGGGGTTAATGGGCAAATTTTTTTTCAGGTTTTCAAATTGATAAAACCAGAGGATTCCGAAAATCTGACAAAAATTCCATAACATGACAAGCAAACATCCTTAAAGTTATGCAATGAATATTCGTATTGAATATTTATAGATCCTTTATGGCAAGTCATTCCATAATAATTTTGTCAATTCATAAAAAAACATGCTAATTGAAGTACCCAATTAATGTGCTAGGATTTATGGACATAATTTGGTACAGTAATTTACATGCTTAACTTTTTAAGTTATAAAGATTACCTGATTCTGAAGCTAATAGAGAAGTGGAAGATACAAAAGAGATATTTAAATTTAAAAGAAAAGTTTTAATATTGAACGTATTCCTACCTGGATCAATATAAATCCAGCTTTTAGTCTCAACATCAAGGCCACAGCGACCTTCTATAAGGGAAATCCCATCGGTAGGATGTCTTCTTTCTGGGATGACATCACCTGCCAAGAGCTTGACAAGACTTGATTTCCCAACCCCGAATTGGCCTGTTACCATACAGCGCATGTCATAGGAATCATACGTTCCACTGCCAAGTAACCTGTTTAACATAGCAGACTTTTTCTCTGTGTGGATTGGATCTGTAATTATGACTTTTTCTATAAAAATATCGTTTAGTCCAAGTTAAATAAAAAAATTTCCAAGACTTTAAAGTTTTTTTTTTAATAGTTGTCATAAACAACCCATTAAAAATCTATGTCAAACATCATGGTTTGTTTGATTGTTTGTTGTTGTATCTAAAAGGAATCTATGGAAGTCATATTGAAGATCAGCTTAGAAAAGTGAATGACAATAAAATTTCAATTGTTAATGAACAATTGAGAGGTCTTTCCTTTCCCTTTCATACATTCAAATAGTCCAAGTTCCATAATGATTTGTTCACTGAATTAAAAGTTTGTTTTCAATATTTTTCATAAACAAATCATTAAAAGTCTATGTCAAACAGGGATTGATTGATTGTTGTTTGTGTAACGTCCAGTTATCTACAAGAAATCTATGGAAATCAAACAAGGAAGTCATATTGAAGATCAGATGAAATTTTGAACAGGAAACATTTTTATACTTACATGTATCTAGCTAAAAAAATTGAATAACAATAACATGTATGTTACGTATGTCAATTGTTCACGAACAACTGAGTTGTATTTTCATGTTGTAAAATATACATTCAAATAGACGCAGGGTGCATTAAAAGCGTTTAAAAGCACACACAAAAAAAACTTAAAATAGGGTCAAAAGCACACTTCATTATATAGGTTGTGACCTTTGTCAAGGTAGTCAGTCCCAGATGCCATTGTATTAGACCCCATGAGTCTAGTACATTTAGTTTAAGAGTTTTACCTAATAATGTCTTTTCAAAAATTGTAAATGGAGTTTGTGTCACTTGAGGAAATGTCAAATCGGAAGTCTTTAGTCAGAAAATAACAAAGTTGCCCCTTAATTACACAAACATTTTCCACTATCCAATACTTCTATGACTATAACGGTTTCTGAGATTATAAATCCCCTAACAAAGTTTAAAGTCAAAGGTCAATTTTAACCGAAAAATTTCAAAGATTTAATTTGCTACAAAATCACTTAGCCATTTTGGATGGCAGGCAGATCATCATCAGACACATTTATTGAAACTACATACCCTAATGATATTAAATCGGACAGGTTTTTGTGTATTGCTATTTTTGTTTCAAGGCTTATCTAGAAAAAAGAAAATTATCACAGAACAAATGTGCAAAATGTATTGTATTTATGGTCTAACAGTCTGTTTGAAGCAAGTGAAATATGAGGTTCTTTCACAATTGAACACCTTAAGTTCATAAATGGCATTATTGTCTATAGTAGATATCGTATTAACATGACACTTAGGGAAATGCCTTATAATTTATTAAGCTTATATCTGACATGTCAAGTTTAAATCAAAATTGATCACATTTTTTTATTCTATTAGGTCTGGGAACATAGTTATCGTCCTTTGATTTTCGCTGTGTACATATATAGTCCATCAAGCGTGCAGAGTCTGACAGTGATGTGGAAAAATTCCGACTCGTACATTTGACCTTTTGTTTCTTTGTTGCTTGTGGACAAGTAAAACCGAATGTTGCTTGACAAAATTTGCCTAAGTCGTTTCAGAGGAGAAGATTTGTGTGAAAGATTACAAAAATTTACAAAAAAGGTTAAAAATTGACTTTAAAGGGCAATAACTCCTTCAGGGTCAATTGACAATTTTGGTCATGTTGACTTATTAGTAGATCTTACTTTGATGAGCATTATTGCTGTTTTCAGTTTATTTATATCTACAATACTATTCAAGATAATAACCAACAAGAGTGCACACGCTGAAATGTCTCGCCTACTATACTGACCATTGATTTGCTGTTTATAGTCCTGCATATAAAGTTTTACTAAAAGTATCACATTAACATTTATGATCCAAGAAAATGAGGTCAAGGTAAGATAAACCAAGCCGAAAAAAATACATGTACACCTTTAATAGACTCATTCCATACACAGAATATAGATGACCTTTGCTTATAGTATACAAGAAACAGACCAAACCATGGAAATTCTATATTGACCAATGAACCATGAAAATGAAGTCAAGGTCAGATGAACCATGCCAGACAGACATGTACACCTTACAATCATTCCATGCATCAAATATAGTTGAACTATTGCTTATTGTATCTAAGAAACGAAGGTAACCAGGAAAACTGAACATTGAGCAATGAACCAAGAAAATGAGGTCAAGGTCAGATGATACCTGCCAGACAGACATATACACCTTACAATCCTTCCATACAACAAATATAGTTGACCTTTTGCTTAAAGTTTAAGAAATACAGACCAAAACACAAATATTTAACATAGAGCAATGAACCGTGAAAATGAGGTCAAGGTCAAATAAAACCTGCCAGACTGACACATCCATCGTAAAATATTTCCATACACCAAATATAGTTGTCCTTTTGCATACAGTATTAGAACAAGAGTGCACACGCTGAAATGTCTCGCCTTCTTTACTAACCATTGATTTTATGTTGATAGTCCTAAATATAAAGTTTTACTACAAGTAACACATAAACTTAACATGATCCAAGAAAATGAGGTCAAGGTCAGATAAATCAAACGAGAAATACATGCACACCTTACCACATTCAATAAACCAAACATAGTTGACCTATTGCTTATAGTTTCTAAGAAACAGTCTTAACCAAGAAAACTTAACATTGACCAACCATGAAAATGAGGTCAGGGTCAGATGAACCATGCCAGACAGACATGTACACCTTACAATCAATTTATGCATTAAATATAGTTGACCTATTGCTTATAGTATCTAAGAAACAAACTTAACCATGAAAACTTAACATTGACCAATGAACCAAGAAAATGAGGTCAAGGTCAGATGATACCTGCCAGACAGACATATACACCTTACAATCCTTCCATACAACAAATATAGTTGACCTTTTGCTTAAAGTTTAAGAAATACAGACCAAAACACAAAAAAATTAACATAGAGCAATGAACCGTGAAAATGAGGTCAAGGTCAAATAAAACCTGCCAGACTGACACATCCATCGTAAAATATTTCCATACACCAAATATAGTTGACCTTTTGCATACAGTATTAGAACAAGAGTGCACACGCTGAAATGTCTCGCCTTCTTTACTAACCATTGATTTTATGTTGATAGTCATAAATATAAAGTTTTACTACAAGTAACACATAAACTTAACATGATCCAAGAAAATGAGGTCAAGGTCAGATAAACCAAACGAGAAATACATGTTCACCTTACAATCATTCAATAGACCAAACATAGTTGACCTATTGCTTATAGTTTCTAAGAAACAGTCTTAACCAAGAAAACTTAACATTGACCAATGAACCATGAAAATGAGGTCAAGGTCAGATGAACCATGCCAGACAGACATGTACACCTTACAATCAATTAATGCATTAAATATAGTTGACCTATTGCTTATTGTATCTAAGAAACAAACTTAACCATGAAAACTTAACATTGACCAATGAACCAAGAAAATGAGGTCAAGGTCAGATGATACCTGCCAGACAGACATATACACCTTACAATCCTTCCATACAACAAATATAGTTGACCTTTTGCTTAAAGTTTAAGAAATACAGACCAAAACACAAAAATTAAACATAGAGCAATGAACCGTGAAAATGAGGTCAAGGTCAAATTAAACCTGTGAGACTGACATGTACATCATAAAAATTTCCATACACCAAATATAGTTGACCTATTGCCTATAGTATTAGAAAAAAACACCAAAACTCAAAAACTTAACTTTGACCACTGAACCATGAAAATGAGGTCAAGGTCAGATGACACCTACCAGTTGGACATGTACACCTTACAATCATTCCATATACCAAATATAGTAGACCTACAGCTTATAGTATCTGATATATGGACTTGACTACGAAAACTTAACCTTGTTCACTGATCCACAATCAGGTCGAGGCAAAGTGAAAACTGTCTGACAGGCATGAGGACCTTGCAAGGTATGCACATACCAAATATAGTTATCCAATTACTCATAATAAGAGAGAAATTAACATTACAAAATATCTGAACTTTTTTTTCAAGTAGTCACTGAACCATGAAAATGAGGTCAAGGACAATGAACATATGACAGACGGAAATTCATATCATAAGGCATCTGTATACAAAGTATGAAGTATCCAGGTCTTCTACCTTCTATAATATACAGTTTTTAAGTAGTAAGTTAACGCCGCTGCCATCACTATCCCTATGTCAAGCTTTCTGCGACAAAAGTCGCAGGCTCGACAAAAACTGCCAAATTTCCTTACAATTAATAATTCAGGGGCGGCAACCAAACAAATATTTCAGGGTAGTTTCAGCAAAAAAAGTCATATACAGCATTTTGGAAGCCCAGCGTTGATATATGTATATGATATAATGATATAAAGTTAAAAAAATACCTTCTTTCTCTAGTCCAACAGTCACACCTGAAGATTTCTCGGACATAACAGACTGAAAAAAAAATGAGGAATATGCACTAGTACAATGCTTCACATTATATAATATATACATATCGAAAAAAAAAATCATATTTTTCACACAAATGTGTGGCCCAGAGTAATAGAGAGATATAGCTTAAAGCTTAAGTGTACAGGTTGTTTTTGAATTTACTTTTTATTTATTTGCAAGTTTATTGTGAATGTACCTTTGAACTTTATATATCCTCCGCTTTCAAATATTTGGCTTTGAGCGTTCCTTAGAAGGTAAATCCAGAAAAGCTTTTGGACAATAACCATCACTGGAAGTTAACCAATTAAATGTTCACCCCTTGTTTTCTTATGTACAAGCTTTAGTAACCATGTAACCTTAAGTTTCCAAAATATTCTATAGAAACATCAAATAAAACAAGAGTGTGGCCATAGTACACAGATGCCCCACTCGCACTATCATTTTCTATGTTCAGTGGACCGTGAAATTGTGGTCAAAACTCTATTTGCCATTAAAATTAGAAAGATCATATCATAGGGAACATGTGTACTAAGTTTCAAGTTAATTCGACTTCAACTTCACCAAAATCTTCCTTAAATAAAAACTTTAACCTGAAGCGGGACAGACAGACAGGCGAAAGAATGGACACACAGACAAGAAAACATAATGCCCCTAGGTGGGGCATAAAAAAGAATGTGGCTTTGAAACACCAAAGATACATGTTTATGACTCAGAAATTTTTTAATGCAATTAAATGTAGGATTAATTTCTTAAAACTGTCAAAAGCAAGGGACTATTTTTTTACCCTTTTTTGTAAGCAAGCGGATGTGACGTACTATGATTTGGTGGTATTACACCTAAAGACTTTGTTGTTGTATAAACTGAATGTGATTTTTTTTCCTTTATAATACTGGTCGTTTAAAGCATTACTATCAAGTTTTGTCATAATCAGTTTAATAGTTTGAGAAAAATCTAGTATAATGTAAGAGGACATCTACAGCGATTCAAGCAAAATTTCTTCAAAAAAATCAAAATCAAACTGCATCATGACATGGTATAATATAGTGTGGACCAATAAATGATCAAATATTGATCTCATCTGCATACAAACAGTTGAATATGATGCAAAAGGTGACTCTAGGATGATAAATATCACAAATGGACCTGTTTATCTTCATTATAGCAAAATAGTTACACCTTTATATTGTTGTATCAAAACAATAAGCATGACGTAAAAAAACCATCCCAAAAATAACAAACAACCAGAATATGAGAAAAATTTTTTGACCTGTCAGTCATGGGACTGACAAAGTAAGATTATATGTCAGTCCTACAAAATTTTTGCCGGTCTTACAAAATCTGTCAATTTTATCACTGGGAGTTAACCTATTACCCCTTTTTTGACTGTGTGCAAGCTTTTGTAACCATGTAACCTAAAGTTTCTAAAATATTCCATAGTAACACCAAATAAAAAAGTGCTTTGAAACACACAAGATATATGTTTACGACTACGCAATTATAATTATGATAATCCAGAACAACTATCACTGCTGTGCAGGGGACAACAAAGTATTCAATTATTGACATATTGTGTAAAAAATCTCATAAATAATAAAAGTACACACTTCCTGTAAAACCATTCACCATCGTGCAGGGGACAACAAAGTATTCAATTTAAGACATACTGTCAGTGTAAGAATCTCATAAATGATATAAGTACACACTTCCTGTACAGTTTGTTTATTATTGAAGAAATCACATACCAATAAATTCCTGAATTCGAAATGGCAGCTTAGCTTAGTTACAGGCTGGTAAAGCATGGAATTTAGCGCCTCAAATATTTTATGTTGTTAAATCGCAATCTTGATAACGAATAAATTGTATTAGAATTTGAAATTTTTAGTTGGACTTAAGAATGTTAAATGTTTACTCTCCTGGAGTATCTTGGTTTTGTGGCATTTGATTTCTTATTCCTTCATGTTTTGTAAATTATTTTGCAATTGATTTGTTCCAATTGTAAGCATTTGTAATTCAACACCACATGTACCTGTAAGTATTCCATCACTTCTTTATACTGCCCCTCTTCTTCTTCTGCTGCTAAATCGTATGGAGTCTTACCCTGAAATACAGATTCATCTTTATATTGCTTTTATCTGTTAATAACAAAGAAGACTTCTGTAACACATATCTTACAATTAATAGGACCAGTAACAGCTGGGTGGTGTTTTATTTTACAGATGCTAACCATATTATTTTCGTCTATTAACTACAACTGATGAGACAACATTCAGATTATTTTTCAAAAGAATTATTTGATGACTTTAAATAGGTTTTTAACTCTTTTTTTAAAGCATATGAATAAAAGCTCTATCTGTCAACATTTGGTTCTTGTAATTTTCTTTGCAGTTTGAAGATTGATAAATGTCTTCATAAGGGTGTGGGACTTTGGAGAGGTCTACATTTTTAGCTATTTTTTTTAATTTTTTGGACATATTATTCACAGTTCTTTATATTTTTGCAGCCCATTATTTTCTATCAATTAACAGCTTTGCCCATTTCTCTCCATTCCTTATGTTTTGTTTCTTCCAGTCATTATTTTATGAACTGCCTTCCAAACCATCTTCTATTCTGAATTTCCTACTCTACCCTCCTATATCAGTACTCCCCACACCCTTCTATATCTGTGTACCCCATCCACACCCATTTATGTCAGTATACCCCATCCACACTCTCCTATATCTGTATACCCATCCACACCCTCCTATATCTGTATAGCCCATCCACACCCTCTTATATCTGTATACCCCATCCACACCCTTCTATATCTGTATATTCCATCCATGCCATCCTATATCTGTATACTCCATCCGAACCCTCCTATGTCTGTATATCCCATCCACACACTCCTATATATGTATACACCATCCACACCCTCCTATATCTGTATACCCCATCCACATCCCGTATACCCCATCCACATCCTCCTAAATCTGTATACCCCATCCACACCCTCCTATATCTGTATACCCCATTCTAACCCTCCTTAATCTGTATACCCCACCCACACCCGCCTATATCTGTATACCCCATCCACACCCTCCTACATCTGTATACCCCATCCACAACCTCCTATAAATGTATACCCCTTCCACATCCTCCAATATCTGTATACCCTATCCACATCATCCTATATCTGTATACCCCATCATCACCATCCTATATCTGTATATCCTATCCACAGCCTCCTATATCTGTAAACAAAATCCACAGCCTCCTATATCTGTATACCCTATCCACACCCTCCTATATCTGTATATCCTATCCACACCCTCCTATATCTGTAAACAAAATCCACACCATCCTATATCTGTATACCCTATCCACGCCCTCCTATATCTGTAAACAAAATCCACAGCCTCCTATATCTGTATACCCTATCCACGCCCTCCTATATCTGTATACCCTATCCACAGCCTCCTATATCTGTAAACAAAATCCACAGCCTCCTATATCTGTATATCCTATCCACACCCTCCTATATCTGTAAACAAAATCCACAGCCTCCTATATCTGTATACCCTATCCACGCCCTCCTATATCTGTATACCCTATCCACAGCCTCCTATATCTGTAAACAAAATCCACAGCCTCCTATATCTGTATATCCTATCCACACCCTCCTATATCTGTAAACAAAATCCACATCCTCCTATATCTGTATACCCCGGCCACACCCTCCTATGTATGTAAACCCCATCCATGCCCTCTTTTATCTGTAAACCTCATCCACACCCTCCTTTATCTGTATACGCCATCCACACCCTCTTATATCTGTATACCCTATCCACAACCTCCTATATCTGTAAACAAAATCCACACCCTTTTATATCTGTATACCCTATCCACGCCCTCCTATATCTGTAAACAAAATCCACACCCTCCTATATATGTATACCTTATCCACACCCTCCTATATCTGTAAACAAAATCCACTCCCTCATATATCTGTATACCACATCCACACCCTCCTATATCTGTATATACCCCATCCACACCCTCCTATATCTGTATATACCCTATCCACAACATCCTACATCTGTATACCCTATCCACACCTTCCTATATCTGTATACCCTATCCACATCCTCCTATATCTGTATACCCTATCCACATCCTCCTATATCTGTATACCCTATCCACATTCTCCTATATCTGTATACCCTATCCACACCCTCCTATATCTGTATACCCTATCCACACCCTTCTATATCTGTACACCCTATCCACACCCTCCTATATCTGTATATACCCTATCCACACCCTCCTATATTTGTATACCCTATCCACACCCTCCTATATCTGTATATACCCTATCCACACCCTCCTATATCTGTATACCCTATCCACATCCTCCTATATATGTATACCCTATCAATTCCCCTTCTATAACGGTATACTCTGGCCAACCTTAAAAATATGTTTGTTTGCAGTTTTCTGACTGTACCTTCAGACTGAAGGGTCGGTCAGTAGGTAAAATATTTTATTTTATCAGCCAAAATAAAGTTAAAACAAGCAGTTGAAAAAACCAAGATTCTTGTGAAGAAAACAAATTTAAACAACACACACTGAAAATTAACATGAAATGAACAGGCATTTTCAGATAAAAATACTGTTTAACCAAAACTGAAACTATAACATAGTGTCATTATTCAATTTATGACATAAAATTATGGTATTATATTAAATACTGGAACAAGAAATGACTATACAGTTTTTAATTGTTTTAAAGAAATATATTCACTGCCATATTTGCTTCTTGACTAGAATGTTTTCATGAGAAGAGTAATTTCATCAGAAAAATTTAGATATTAAAGATTCATAAGTCAATGTAAGAATGTAAGAGTGTTTTTAAAAAAAAGTCAAATGCTTCGCTGAGCGCAGCCTGATAAGATTGCAGAGGTCGAACGTTGAACAGTTTGGGCAAATTTTGACACAATATTCAAGCCTGATACCGACTAAATTTGGATTGTGATCAAATTTTTGACATAATATAGGTTTCTGACCCAAAAAAATGTGGTCAAAGATCTTAACAAGAGTGCACACGCTGAAATGTCTCGCCTTCTTTACTAATCATTGATATTATGTTGATAGTCCTAAATATAAAGCTTTCTTACAACTGTCACATAAACTTAACATTAACCAAGAAAACTAAACATTGAACAATGAACCATGGAAATGAGGTCAAGGTCAGATGAACCATGCCAGGCAGGCATGTACAGCTAACAATTCTTCCATACAACAAATATAGTTGACCTATTGCTTATAGTTTAAGAAAAACAGACCAAAACACAAAAAACTTTACACTGAGCAATGAACTGTGAAAATGAGGTCAAGGTCAAATAAAAACTGCGCGACCGACATAAAGATCATAAAATACTTCCATACACCAAATATAGTTGACCTTTTGCATATAGTATTAGAAAAAAAGACCAAAACTCAAAATCTTAACTTTGACCACTGAACCATGAAAATGAGGTCAAGGTCAAATGACACCTGCCAGTTAGACATGTACACCTTTCAATCATTCCATACACCAAATATAATTGACCTATTGCTTAAAGTGTAAGAAAAACAGACCAAAACACAAAAATGTAACAAGCAATGAACCATGAAAATGAGGTCAAGGTAAAATAAAACCTGCCAGACTGACATGTACATCATTAAATATTTCCATACACCAAATATAGTTGACCTACTGCATATAGTATTAGGAAAACAGACCAAAACACAAAAACTTAACATTTAGCAATGAACCTTGAAAATGAGGTCAAGGTCAAATAAAACATGCCAGACTGACATGTACATCGTAAAATATTTCCATACACCAAATATAGTTGACCTATTGCATACAGTATTAGAAAAACAGACCAAAACACAAAAACTAAACTATGACCACTGAACCATGAAAATGAGGTCAAGGTCAGATGACACCTGCCAGTTGGACATGTACCCCTTACTATCATTACATACATCAAATATAGTAGACCTATTGCTTATAGTATCTCAGATATGGACTTGACCACGAAAACTTAACCTTGTTCACTGATCCATGAAATGAGGTCGAGGTCAAGTGAAAACTATCTGACGGGCATGAGGACCTTGCAAGGTACGCACATACCAAATATAGTTATCCTATTACTTATAATAAGAGAGAATTTAACATTCCCAAAAATCTGAACTTTTTTTTCAAGTAGTCGCTGAACCATGAAAATGAGGTCAAGGACATTGGACTTGTGACTGACGGAAACTTCGTAACATGAGGCATCTTTATACAAAGTATGAAGCATCCAGGTCTTCCACCTTCTAAAATATAAAGCTTTTAAGAAGTTAGCTAACGCCGCCGCCGGATCACTATCCCTATGTCGAGCTTTCTGCGACAAAAGTCGCAGGCTCGACAAAAATCTATTGCGCAATACTGTGCAATTGAAGATTTGAAGATTTCTTCTTGAAACTTTAAAAAAAAAATATGAACCCCTTAAAAAAATTGGGAAAAATCCCCCCCCCCCCCCCCCTCCCCGGAGCAATTACCCCCAAACTCAATCCCAGTCTTCCCTTTGTATTATGGAACCTTGCAGCACAATTTTAGAGAGATCCATACACTTAAACACAAGTTATTGTCTGGAAACTAGAAAAATGCTTGTTTTTGTCCCCTTTTTTACCCCTAATTCCTGCATGTTTGGGGCAATTACTCCAAAGATCCATACACTTACACACAAGTTATTGTCCGGAAACTAAAAGAATGCTTCTTTTTGGCCCCTAATTCCTTCATGTTTGGGCATATTCAACAAAGGACACACTCCAACATTAAAGACAAGAATAGAATTCATAAGAAAAATCTCTGTTTTGTTGATCTTGTATTGCTGATCATTTAGTCTGTTTAGTTTCTCTCTATCTTCTTTAATTTTTGCTCATAACACAAAACAGGGTAAAAAAAACTTTATTTAGGGCTTGGCAATCACTCATATAAAGAGTGACAGCCTACTACCTTTATCAGCAAAATCTGACCTCCTTTATATTGTCTTAATTGTAGATCTTGTCTTGCTGATAATTTTTGCCTAC